GGCTCCCTGCTCAGCAGTGAGTCTGCTTCTCCCTCGGACCCTCTCCCCTCTCATGCTCTCTCTATCTCATTCTCTCTCTCAAATAAATAAAATCTTTAAAAAAAAAAAAAAAAAGAATCCCTCCCCTCATAGGGATTACAGTCTAGTGGCAAAAAATGGGCAACAAACAAATCAAAGAAAATACACTGTACATCAGATGCTATGGTGAAGCATTAAGCAGAGAAGGGGGTAAGAATTTCGCTTCAGGGATGGGGCAGGGAATGTAATTTTAAATTGAGTGGTTAGGAAAAGCCTCACTCAACAGATTATGTTTGGGCAAAGACCTGAAGGAAATGATGGAGCAAACCATGTGGACCTCTCAGGCTAAATGTAGCAAATAAAGGACTAACAAGTGCAAAGACCTTGAGGCAGGAGAGTGTCAGCAGGTCTGAGAAAGAGCAGGAAGACCAGTGGCTGGAGCAGAATCTGCTGCAGAGGCTCTCTCTCCCTCTCCCTCTGCCCCTCCCCCTGCTCTCTAAAATAAATAAACAAACCAACAAATAAAAATCTTTGAAATAAACAAATGAATAAAAGGATCACTCTGACTGCTGTGATGAGAAAGGACAGCAGAGGGCAAGGTCAAAAGCAAAGAGACCAGTTAGGAGGCAGCTACAGTGACCCAGGTGAGACGTGATGCTCATTTGAACCAAGGCATTAGCCACATCTAAGAAGTGCTCAGATCCTGAATGATTCTGAAGGTACAGTCAACAGGATTTGCTGAGAGACTGGACACACAATACTAGAGAGAGAGGATGTTTGACCCGACTAACTAGAAGACCGAATTGCTATTTACTCAGCGGAGAAGGCTGTAGGAGGAGCAGGACCGGACAGGAAGATCATGAGTTTCTGTCTAAGTGTGAGATGCCCATCAGACAATCACATGAAGATATCGGGTAGGTAGGACGTTCCACAAACAAATCTGGAGATGGAAATGGGAGTTATAGGGTCATGAGCACAGAAAGGGCATTTAAAGCCATGAGGTGATGGGATTGCTGGGGAGTGTAGACAGAAAAGGGAAGGGTCAAAGGACTACTCCTGAGCTCTGGGGCACTCAAACTTCCAGTTGTCAAGAGGAAAAGGAACCAACAAAGGAGACTGGAAAAGAGTGCCAGTGAGGTGGGCAGAAAGCAGAAGTGCGGTACCCTGGAAATGAAAGGAAGCATGTCAAGGAGGGGGGGAGAGTCAAATGCTGCAAAGTCAAGTCAAGTGGGCTCATCACCGACTCCTGTACTTACCAACATGGAGTTGGAAATGAAGCTCACCACCTTGACTGCTGCGACTGGGGGCAGGAATGTGGAATGGACTGAGGGAAGAAGAGTAAGACAGGTACTACAGACGAAGAGGATTAACTCTTTTGAGTTTTGTTGTAAAGCAGAAGAGAGAAATGGGGTGGTAACTAAAAGAATATGTAGGACAACAGTTTTTCCTAAGAGAAAATAGAGCATATTTATAGATGCATATAGGGGTATGTGTGTCTATTCAGAATGTTCCAGAGAAAAGGAAAAACTGATAATGCAGGAGGGACTGGGGATGGGGAGGAGGTTTGCTGCAACAATGTCTTTGAGTAGATGAGAAGGTTCAGGGTCTTGTGACAAATGGAGGGCTTGACCTTAGCTAGGGGCACAGAGTGTTTATCCATGGTAACAGGAGAGAAGGCAACACTTAAAATAGACACAGGCAGTTAGGTGAGTAGACATTGTGATAGGAACATGTGAACATGTTCTATAAGAAAAGAGAAGCAATCAGAAGAGATGGGCAACAAAGTCATCAGTTGAGGGTGAAGACAGGAGGAGGCACGTAGAGGTTTGAAGGGCAAGAAGGTAAGAAACAGATGTTTGGGAGAGCAGAAGAATAGGTGGACAAGGGGAGTGTAATAGACTAGCTGGGCAGCAGTTAAGGACTTGCCTAAGGTTAGTAACGACAAACTCAAAATGAAACCGGTCAGCACGGTTGTATATATACTAGGAGGGCCTAAACTAACCTGGAGGTGGGGATATCAAAGAGGCCTTCCCTTGGAAGTGATGTTTGAGCTGAGCACTGAAGGATGCATATGAATTAACCAGGCAGTCCAAGGATTCCAGGCATAGAGTACAGTCTGTATGAAGGCTCCACGGATGGGAACATCAAGACAGACTTGAGGCCCTGAGAGATGGGTAACAGACAGCACGAGGAGCACAAGGGAGGGAGAGGCACAGAAAGAATCCAGAGAGGGAGGCAGGACCTTGGAGGCCATGCTAAAGGTATTGGTTTGGTCTTGAAAGAACAAGAAGTCATTGAAAGATGGGAGTGAGAGGTGATTACAGCTGCATCTTGAAAAGATCACTCTGCTGGGTAGAGTGGGCAGAGGTCTAGGTGGGGGCAAAGAGTAAAGCAGAAAGACAAGTTGGCCTAAATGCAGCAGTGCAGGCAAGTGACCGTGGTGGCATGGACTGGGGAGCCATCAGTGTCGATGGAGAAACATGACATTCGAGAGATTTTTAGAAGATAAAATCAATAGGACTTGAGTAATGGCTATGGGGGCGAGAAAAAGGGGCATGTCAAAGGTGATATCTAGGTTTCCCACTGGGTGGATGATGGTTTGATTCACTGAGATGGGGAAGCCTGAAGGAGAAACAGCCTGTGTGCAGGAAGAACACAAGATCTCGTTCCAGCATGCTCACCTTCCCATGGGAAAGCTTGAAGACACTTGTGAAAACCCAAGGAAGAAACAACAGTGGCCTGAACTGGAGATGGTAGGAAGAGGAGCAGACAATTGGGGAAATATTAAGGACCTATGACCCACAGATCTGACTGACTGCCGGGATGTGAGCAGGAGAGGGCAAGAGTCAAGATGACAGCCAGATTTCTTACTTGGCAGCTGGAAAGGCAGCAAAGGAGGAGAAGCCAGTCTTTGAGCAAAAGGAAGTAGGTGCTCCCATCCATATTACACACTTTTCTCCCATTTTAGCATAACCGCACACCTCTTCTCCGCTCTTCCTTCGTGGAAAATTGCTTTTAACACTCCCTTGGTTCTTTGCGAGCCTGCTGTGTTTGCACTGTTCACCTTCTCATCTGACAGTGCTTCTCTTTGAAGTCCCAGGGAGTCAAGGAAGACATAGCCAGAGCATGTCCACTTGCTCTGTGCATACATCGGCATAATTCCCCTACCTTCCCCAGGAGACCATAAGCTCCTCGGAAATAGGAGAGCTGTCTCACTCACTGTTGTATCCCAGTACCTGGCATGATAGAAGACTCCAAATAAATATTGACTGAATGAATACAAGAATGAATGCCTGCCTCTGGGAAGACTTCCCTGAATGTGACCTAGTTGTGTTCCCAAGAACAAAGACATTGGCATTACTAGGGAGATGACATCATAAGTGTTTTAAATGAATGTTTTGGATGTGAGGTTGTGCCTGCCCATTAGATCATAAATTTAGGAACTGTTTCCTTTGTAGTTTTGGATCCTTGACAAAAGTGAAGCAAAATTTTCCTTACTTTTTCCTTTCCCAAGTCTGCGGTGCCTAATTCCTACCCCACTTGCCCCACAAAAAACACCCTAACCCTCGAGAATTCACCCTTATTTCTCCCAAGTAGTCAAAACCTTAAAAATCTAATATCTATTCATAATAAAGTTATAAAGTACTCCTCAGGTTTAATACATGCAGATTGCTCCCCCTACAGAATGCCCCAAAAGATGAATTTTGACAAAATACCATGTCGAAAGCAAAGGTGGTTTTAAGTGACAGCATTATTCATGAAATCAGAAAGAGCAAAAGGGTAGAAAAAACTCCTACTAAGGCCTGCCCGGTTTTTATTTCCTGCCCCCAAATCAACCACTCTGGGTGTTTTCTCTGGCACACAGAAAGAGGCACACACACGCACACAGTTTGTTAAAAAGAGACTGGTCTGGTCGCAAATCACTCCCCTCTCCCAAGAATCCAGGGAGTGACAATTTCTCCACAACCCAGCCCCCCCGCCCACTCCCGCCACAAAGACCACGCACCCTGCAGCGCGGCCAAGATCCCCACGATGCCCGTCCCGGCGCCTAGTTCGATCACTTTCTTGCCTCGGAAATCCACATTTTGACTTTCAAAATAGTTGCACAGGCTGAGAGCCTACGGGGGAAAAAGAGGGAAGAGAGAGAAAAAGACTGTCGCGGGGATGTTTCCATATGGAAGAGGGAGAGTCCGGAGTCCGGACCTCCCGGGGACTCTCGCCCAGAGCCGCCCACTCCTCACCGCGTCCCACACGCGCGCCGCCACCCCAAGGCGGGACCCGAAGTTCTGTGTGATGCTCAGCACGTGCCCACAGAAACAGAACCGGCTCTTCTCCGAGTAAGAGTCCGCGAAGAGCCCGACTTCCCGCGGGAACACGGATTCGGGCTCTGATTCACGATCTGGGCAGGGGTCCGCCATCAGGCTGAGAGCGCGCGCGGACCCCGCGGCCAGCCCTGGTATCCCGGATCTAGGACCGGGTGGGGGTGGGGGTGGGGGTGGGGGGCCGCGGGTCGTCCCGGCTTCTGCGTGGCACCGAGCCCCGCCTCTCCGAGTTTGCCCTCCTCCCTTCAGTTTGACTTCCTGGGGGTGGGATGAGGAGCTGCCCCTCCCGCTCCGGTGCCCAGCGCACACCCGACGGCGTCACGTCGGACCACGCGGGGGAGACAGGGCCGACAGGTCTGAGGCCGGGGGAGAGGGGAGAGGAGTGAGGATTTTTCTGTAGGAAGCGGGGTCCTGGACTCCTCTCACCTGCGGGGTGCAGAGGTATCTGCAACTAGGATAGTATCCCAGGCCAAGCAGAAGCGGGCTAACGAAAGAGGTAGGGTGCCGGGTTGGCCTTGCCAGTCCAGCTGGAGACCCGCGCCGCGAAAGCCCCCTACCGCTCCGGCAGCCGCCCACCCTCCCTGCCCAGGTCCGCGGAGTACACTCTTGGGTCTTTAAGAGGCGGGGTCTGCTCTCAACGCGTCTGATTGCGTCATTATCGTGCGCCTCGGGCCTTGGTCTCCACGTGGGTTCAGTAGAGAAACCCGGGACTGGGGATCATGGCGGGAGCTGAGACTGGGGTCGCGGCAGGAGCCGAGGCCCCGCAGCCCCAGAAGCGCTACTATCGGCAACGTGCTCACTCCAACCCCATGGCTGACCACACGCTGCGCTAGTGAGTGAGCAGGGCAGGGGGGGACGAGAGCAGGGGGAGGCAAGAGGAGGGCAGAATATTCGCAGCAGTCCGAAAGGGCTGTTGTTCTGGACCGTCTGCAGGGTCTCAGACGCACCAGGGAGGATCGGCAGGGTGACGTCAGCTTTAGAGGTGTGTCGGGGAGATTTAGGGGAGGGCGGAGTTGGAGGGTTGGGAGGGGGCGTGGCGTTCTGCCCGAAGTCTCGGTAGGGGTGCAAGTCTGGGAAGAGAGTAACTTAGACTGGAGTGTTGCGGGCAGGATGTCGTTTCCACCTTTCGGTTTCGTTGATCGGATTTAATAAAAAGACAAACATACACACAAATCCCGCCCACGCCTTAGTCCATCCTCTTCCCACAGAGCACATAAACAGAGTGTAAGGTCCCAGTGCCTTAGGCAGCCAATCTCTGGGGGAAAGGAACTTGTGACCCAGAAAGGAGAGCTGCCTGACCAGAGTCACATCGACTCCTAGAAGTGGAGATGGGCAGGTCAGCAATATGAGCCTCATGATGGGCCTGTGATTCACACTGGGGGTTAAGGGTGGTTTCCACTGTGTTTCCTAGAGACCACAGGGCCCACTGTTACAGAATTTTTGAGAATCGGTCTTCCCATTTACCTCCCACCCTTACCCATCCGCCCACTCACACGTAGTACCACTTCCGCAATGGCTTGACCAACCTTCTCATGTCCCTCATGTCTTCTCTCCAATAGCCCTGTGAAGCCTGAAGAGATGGACTGGTCTGAGCTATACCCAGAGTTCTTCGCTCCACTGACTCAAAATAAGAGCCACGATGACCCAAAGGATAAGAAAGAAAAGAGAGCTCAGGCCCAAGTGGAGTTTGCAGACATAGGCTGTGGCTATGGTGGCCTGTTAGGTAACACTCTGGCCTTTCCTCTAGGGCACAGAGAGGCAATGCCTAGGTTCTGCTACCTCAGCAGGTTTGGTGGGGGCCATAGTTGGCCTTTCCCCTTCGGACCAGACACCAGTGCTGTGACATCAGTGTGGAGAGCCTCCACTTTCTCTGTACTCTGGGTCTGTGGCCTTTGTCCTGGAGAAGGGAGGGTGTTGTCTCAAATTCCTCTTAGAACTTGGGTTGTCTTGTCTGGCCCCACCCCTGGCCTCAGTCCCTACTTGAGGCATTTCACCTGCAAGGTACCGGGTCAGTGAGCTGGTCAGCACAAGCGTCAGAGATTAGTCACTGTAGCCAGTGATCCTGAACTGTCTTTCTGAGGGATTCCACCACTCTCCCTCTCCTCCCCCCTCCACCAAAACTCATTGTTTCTGCTCTACTCTCATGTTTTCAAGTTCCTCTTGTATTGTCTGTATCGTCCCAGCCTGCATGCCAGGCCACTTCTCTATTTTTAGATCTTCCCGTAGAGGTAACAGCATGACAGAGAGAGGAAAAACATGTTACTTGGGGGCAGAAAAGCTCGGTTCAAGTTCCAGTTCTGCCTCCTCTTAGCTCTGTGACCTTGGCCATTTCTGACCTCAGTACCCTCATCTTCTCAATTTACCACAGAGCATTAGGAGGATTAACTGAGATGATGTGTGAAAACACTGAAAACTTGGAAGCACTTAGAAATATACGTGTATCCACAGGCCCTCCCACTTCCAGTCCAGGTGACAGTCTTTGGATCTAAGCCTAACCGTAAGCTTAACCCCCTTCTCCAGCATAGAACCAGCCATCTAGGTATCTCTCCGTCCACACTTGCCATTCCTGATTTTGGGAGTTGCAGAGTGATACTTCCTTTCCTTTCTTGACCCCTTTGCACTTCCTGCAAGTATGAGGTTGACGATTCCATTCCTGTTTCTGTGTCCAGTGGAACTGTCACCGTTGTTCCCAGACACACTGATTCTGGGTCTGGAGATCCGGGTGAAAGTCTCAGACTATGTACAAGACCGGATTCGGGCCCTTCGAGCAGCTCCTGGAGGTGGCTTCCAGAACATCGCCTGTCTCCGTAGCAATGCCATGAAACACCTTCCTAACTTCTTCGGCAAGGGCCAGGTGGGGAGGGGCCCTGGTGGGTTAGGCTGGTAGGCACATGGGGCACTAAAGCCAGGCTCTCAACCCTGTCAATGCATGTCTGTCTCACAGCTGACAAAGATGTTCTTCCTCTTCCCTGACCCACATTTCAAGCGGACGAAGCACAAGTGGCGAATCATTAGTCCCACGCTGCTGGCAGAATATGCCTACGTCCTTAGAGTCGGGGTGAGTCGGGAGTGGGAGGGAGGGGTGAGTGGCCCATTCAGAGACCTTCCACTAAGAATTCAGTGGGGGTGCATTTAGGACCCACACCACCACTCCCATCATCTCCCTGCTCAAATGCATGCAGCCCCCCGTCTCAGGTGATTTTGCCTCTGCAGGGGCTGGTATACACCATAACTGATGTGCTGGAGCTACATGACTGGATGTGCACCCATTTTGAAAGGCACCCCCTGTTTGAGCGTGTGCCCCTGGAGGAACTGGTAAGTAGGGGGCCTGAGGGGAGTGGTGAAGATTCAGGCCTTTTCCAGAGTGGTTCTGTGTTCTTTGAACCCAGCTCAGTGCCAGGAGGATGGGTTGGGAGTCTCAGGGCCAGGGGCCATCTGAAAGGTGGGCAAGGACTTATTGGACCCTTCCTTTTCTCAGAGTGAAGACCCCATTGTGGGACATCTGGGCACCTCAACCGAGGAAGGCAAGAAAGTCTTACGCAACGGAGGCAAGAATTTCCCAGCCATCTTCCGAAGAATACAGGATCCCACCCTCCAGGCAGTGACCCCCAGTCCCACCCCCCTGGGCCACTGACGGCCTGCCTTGCCTTAGCTTGACCCCAGGACCTTCCCAGCCGAGACTGCTAGGGCCAAGAGGCGACAGTCTTTCAAAGAAGTTGGGGAACTGCCCAGGCCAGAAGGCTGGGATTCACAACTGACCTCTCATCTTGCCTGTCTGTCACCAACAGAAAGCAAAAGAAGCTAACTGGGAAGGTCAAAAGATCTTGGACCAGAAGGGATGTTTGGAAGGGTGTGGGGTCTTGCTCTTCCTTAGCACTTCCTTCTCCTTCTGGGATCTCCTCAGCTGGAGTGAGGAATGCAATTCTCCACTCCATCTAAACTGCTTGCTAGACTAAAATTGCCTGTCCACTTGTGTTTACTTGGCAGTCCTGGGGATAACGTGTATACGTGTGCACATGCCCGTGCTGCTCTTTCTCAGGAAAGGGTAGAGCATGTATCACATGCCTTCTCCCATCCCCCATCCTCTCCCTGCCTGAGACTTGACCTGAGGAATCTGCTGTCTTTATTGTTGCTGTCTCTGGAGAGTCCTGGGTCGGGGTGGTGGAGACCCTCTCCTTTTTCATGTTGACCTTCGATTCCAGAACCTCAGAGCTAACTGACTGGCACAGAGCCCAGTGGGGGCAGGGTGGGGGAGTGAGGAGCAGAGAACTAAACTGTGCAAGATTCTGAGGCTAAAAGCAAAAATGGGCTGCTGACTAGAAATCCGCCCCCCCAAAGAGGACTGAGTCAGCTGGAGAGTCGGAGCACTCACATAGCCCTTGCACCATCCAAGAGCACAGAGAAATCTCTGAACTTTTCTAATTGGCATAAGGTTCCTTTGTTTCTGCTTCTGAAGCCCTAGGTTCCCATGGCTGGAAGGACAGGGTTTGTTGACCTAAAAGACCACCCCCTTCTTCCCAAGGAACAAAGATGAAGGCTCCTGGAGCCATTTTAACCCATTAACTCACCCACCATCTGCCCAGTGTCAGGTACAGGAGGTGGGGAAGATGTGGTAGTACCAGAAAGTTCTGCTTACCTACGGCAAAGGTGCAGCCCCATAAGCCAAGAATATGGAGAAAGCTACAGCTGTGCCTCTTCCCTTCCCGAAGGAGCTGAGGATGGGGAATTCCTGAGGATGGTCCCAAGAGGGCCTGGCTCCCTGAGGAAGTGGGAATACTAGGGACTGACTCTGTACCTCTGTATCCTAAACCTCACCAAAGAGCCTTTCCCAGGAAGAGATCTTTAGGCAGCTGGACTAGGGCACCAGCCCAGAAGGGGGAAACCAAGGCAGACCTCTCTTCCCAAGAGGGTCATTGCAACATGAGACCCAAGAGAACTGCCAAGGAACCCCAGCCCCGCCTACTGTGCCTGGGTGCTAATCCCCAGCTGGACCACTCAGAGAGGGGATTGGCTGAGGAGCTTGAAGAGGGGGCGTCGCCACCATCTCACCCAAAGGTTAAATAGGGATTCAGGCAGCAAGCAAGATGCCTGGAAGAAGTGCTCTCCTTCGCCGGTTCCCTGACCCAGACCATGACCCAGACCCTCAAGCTCGCCTCCAGGGTGTTCCATCGCGTCCACTGTGCTCCCAAGCTAGGTGCCTCACTGGGCTCCAGAGGCTCCGACTCCGCGCCCCGGAGCTTGGCGGACATCCCAGGCCCCTCCACGCCAGTCTTCCTTGCTGAACTTTTCTGCAAGGGGGGTCTATCACGGCTACACGAGCTGCAGGTAGAAGGGGACGTTCCTGGGAATGGAATGCTGGGGAAACTGGCTTTAACAACACCAGAAAGGACAGACTAGTGCAGAAAGTAGGAGGCGGGCCAGTGAGAACAGAGGCCTATGAATTAGAAACGGGACTGCGGGCGGTGGTTCGAGCTGCGTGGGAGTCCATCCCGACACCCAGCAGAAGAGTACCCTCAAAAAGCGCCTTCTCGCTGTGCGGAAGTCGGGGCCAGGTAGGTCCAGAACAAGTGCGCGGGAGGTAGAAACGCATAGTACCTTCCCCTCGCATGCGACTTAAAGCTACAGGCGCTCCTCTTCAGTTAACTGGGGGTTCGTTCTAAGATAGTCCACGTGAGGTGCCTTCAGGGATTTCTTCGCCTCGGCTCAGCCCAGGTGACCTAAGAGAGGTCCTGAATGTCTGCTTTGTGCAGTTCCTCCGCTTTGCCCATCACTCAGACTTCCTAGGGATGGGAAGTGGGGGAAAGAAAAGGAGGAAGGGTTTGCAGCATCAGGGCTATATACTAGCTGGGAGCCACTGAAGAAACAAGCTCCCTCTTGCAAAGCCCAGCCAACACCCTTGACGGACCAAGCTGGAAGTTCCCGGCCCGGGGACTCCAGTGTCCACTGTACCCATTCTCCCAGGTGCAGGGCTTATCGCGCTTCGGGCCTGTGTGGTTGGCCAGCTTCGGGAGGGTGCGCACTGTGTACCTGGCGGCCCCAACACTCGTCGAGCAGCTCTTGCGACAGGAGGGGCCCCGGCCGGAGCGCTGCAGCTTCTCACCCTGGGCAGAGCACCGTCGCCGCTGCCAGCGGGCTTGCGGGCTGCTCACGGCGTGAGTCCTCTCTGGCCCCAAAGCCCAAACGCCCAGCTGCGTCCCTCTCCTGTGGCTGGTCTGGAAACAGTCTGTCTCGGGGTGTGGAGGGAGGTTGGACTTTTCCCCCAACTGTCTGATAAATTGGGCTTCCCACCCCAGCCTCTTTCGTTCAGGCTCAGGTAGAACCGCGCCTGTCCCCCACCCATCTCCCTGTCTTTGGAGTCCGGAATCCTGGAAATCCGCGGAAGGGGCGAAGGTACCAGGACCTAGATGGAATGTGAGATTCCGTGACTCAAGTTACCCAGGAACCCAGTCCCCCTCCCCCGCCCCGGGGCCAGGAAATGAACAACGAGGAAGGGGGACGGGAAGTCGGCGCAGGCAGGAGCAGGTTTTTGTACCCCAAGGGAGCAGCCGCAATCCTTTTCCTGGCCACCCCAGCCGAACGCGCTCCATCTTCACCGCCGCCAGCCCCGTCGGGCCGCCTCCACACACCCTCATCCGCCCTGACGCGCCGCCTCTGTGCACACCCGCAGGGAAGGAGAAGAATGGCAGAGGCTCCGCAGCCTCCTGGCACCGCTGCTCCTCCCGCCTCAAGCGGCCGCCCGCTATGCCGGGACCCTGGACGACGTGGTCCATGACCTTGTGCGGCGACTGCGGCACCAACAGGGACGTGGGGCTGGGCCGCCCACCCTGGTTCGGGACGTGGCAGGAGAGTTTTACAAGTTTGGACTAGAAGGTGAGTCCCAAGACAGGGGCAAACGTGGGAGGCCCCTGCCTGGTCTCCCAGTGCCCTGACAGCGCCCCCTCCCGCCCAGGCATAGCTGCGGTGCTCCTGGGTTCCCGCCTGGGCTGCCTGGAGGCCGAAGTGCCCCCAGACACAGAGACCTTCATCCGCGCGGTGGGATCGGTGTTTGTGTCCACGCTGTTGACCATGGCAATGCCTGGCTGGCTTCACCGCCTCGTGCCCGGACCCTGGGGCCGCCTCTGCCGAGACTGGGACCAGATGTTTGCCTTTGGTAAGGCACGGAAATGAAGTGGGGATAGGGGAACATAAAGCTGTTCAGGGATGGTGAGGCACCCCTGTACCTTCTCCCCCATACAGCCCAGCAGCACGTGGAGAGGCGAGAGGCTGAGGTAGCCTTGAGGAGCAAGGGAAAGCCTGAGGAGGACATGGGATCTGGGGCACACCTGACCCACTTCCTGTTCCGGGAAGAGTTGCCTGCTCCGTCCATCCTGGGCAATGTGACCGAGCTGCTACTGGCTGGAGTGGACACAGTGAGGTTCTTCTCCATGTTGGGAGCCCCACTTCCAGAGCTTAGCCTCTCCAGTTTCAGGGGCCACTTTGCTGCTGCAGGGGATCCACTATGACCCTTTCGGCCAGCTTGGCTTAACACCTCCTGAGCTCCAGACTGCCTCATATTCTGCCCCCCTTTACTGGGTGTCCACTCTCAACACCTCTGAGGCTCTCAACTGTCCTCTTAGGTATCCAACACACTCTCCTGGGCTCTGTATGAACTCTCTCGGCACCCCGAAGTCCAGAAAGCACTCCACTCTGAAATCACGGCTGCCCTGGGCCCTGGCTCCAATGCCCACCCCTCAGCTACTGTTCTGTCCCAGCTGCCCCTGCTGAAGGCAGTGGTCAAGGAAGTGCTAAGGTGAGGGGACGGGAGAGGAGAAGCTAAAGAAAATGTTGGGAAGGGCTGGGGAAGCAGATGGTAAATGGGAGCAGGGAGAGCAAGCAGAGGAAAATGGTACCTACTCCTGGCCAAGAATGGGTTTGGACGTAGGAGGCTTGGGGACAAGAGGGAGGCTACAGCCCCCAGCCTCACCTTGCTGTTTCCCTCTTGTTCTGCAATCCAGACTGTACCCTGTGGTACCTGGAAATTCCCGTGTCCCAGACAAAGACGTTCGTGTGGGTGACTATGTCATCCCCAAAAATGTGAGTAGAGCCTATGGGCCCCTTTTGTTAAGCCATCCCTCACAATCTTGGGCCCCATCCTGTTGTCAAACACTCCATATAAGCCCTTCACCTTCCCTTTGGCCTGAATGCCTCTCTCTGGGATGTAACGGGGGCAGTGGAGAAATCATTCCAAAAGTAGCCCCAGAAAACTTACCCCCTCACCAACCAGAGCCCACCTTTGCTCCAATCCATATATCCTCTTTTCCATGTCCCTCCCTGCATTCGTGGGCCCAAACTGACAAGTTTATGTTCTTTCCCCATCAGACGCTGGTCACACTGTGTCATTATGCCACTTCAAGGGACCCTGCCCAGTTCCCAGAGCCAAATTCTTTTCGTCCAGCTCGATGGCTGGGGGAAGGTCCAGCCCCCCACCCATTTGCATCTCTTCCCTTTGGCTTTGGCAAGCGTAGCTGCATGGGAAGACGCCTGGCAGAGCTTGAGCTGCACATGGCTTTGGCTCAGGTTAGTGATCTTGACATACCTTCCCCAGACATGAGAGACCCTAACCCTCTAAAGCCGTGAGCTCTTCTGACAAGCATCGCAAAATATATGACTTAGTAAACCTAATCCTCTGAAATACAGCAATCCTGTTTTAAGTCTACAGAGTGAGCAAGGGTATTTGGACTATTCGCCCCCCGCCGCGATAATCCCTTAAGAAATTCCCTACTGACCACAGGTGTCATTTCAATATCGACCTAACACTAATAATACCCTTTACCAATCAAACCCACCATTGTAGACCCCTCCCAAAGTGATAGCTTTCTTCCTCCCTTTCCAGATCTTGACCCACTTTGAGGTGAAGCCTGAGCCAGGTGCTGCCCCAATCCGACCCATGACCCGGACTGTCCTGGTACCCGAGAGGAGCATCAACCTACAGTTTGTGGACAGATAGTCCCATGGAAGGAGGCTATCATCATCACCCTTTCTCTCATTGTAGGGATTTATTAGGCACAAGACCAAGAGATATGTATTCCCCCTGAGACCTATTTGACCAGACTGTTTAGAAGGACACTAGCAAACTGCTTGAGGCAGCCCTGACCAAGGTGTGAAATATGCCTGGGCCTGACCCATCAGGCCCTGTGAAAACCATAGTCCCTCTGCCCACTCAGCTTTTCTCCTGGTCTTATATGCATCCTTCAAGGGCCAGCTTAGATCTTAATACTGTTGGGTGGCCTGAGGAAGGATTCAACCACTGCCCTTTTGGGGCTTCCACAGTGTTCAGGAGCTGCTGGGTAAGCACTTATCACCACGTGAGCTCAGTAATTATGCATCTGGTCTGCACCTGGTTGGTCTTTCCTTCTTGCATGTGAGCTCTTTGAGAGGAAGAATGAGACCTTATTCAGTCTTTATATCCCATAATTGGGTGATGCCATACAGGTTCTCAAATTGAATCTGGACCATGTGGCAGAAGGGATAAGCAGCTTACCAGCCTCTGTCTACTCTTCTTCTTCCTCATCTTGACCCTGGCAAGGTGAGTCTGCCCTCACCTGGTTTATGATGTTTTAAAACTCTCCTTGACTCTCTGGTCACTATTAGGGGTTCGCTTGTCCCACCATTTAATTCCTGGGCAGACATCTTTTGGCCTATACCTGCTTAAGCCTTCCTTTTATATATTGGAATTTTTTAATATTCGTAGTTTTGAAATAAAAGAATGAAATGTTCCATCCTTGGTTTTTGACTTACTTCTCTTCTACGAGTCCTGGAGGCAAGACCCTCACCAAATCCCCTACTTTGATTTCTCCGATCCTGGGAGTGACCTCCATAACAATGGGAGGTCTAGCCGCCTGGGAGAGTGGTTTGCATCACAAACCCAACACTCTTCTGTCTGTACTGGGAAGAGCCAGAGTCTGGCTCCCTGTAAGAGATTAAGGGGGTGGTGGTGAAAAGTAACACCAAGAGTTAGCCTTTAAAAATGGGTTGGGGAGCTAGGGATTTGCAGAGATGGCCAGAGGCAACAGACTCTTTGGTGGAAGTGCTTTTGGAACCTGGACTGCCAGGACCAAAGGATATCTGCCCTCTCTGGAAAAGTTGCTCCAAGGTAATTTCCTTCAGAGAAAGACAGGGATACATGCACAGAAGTGAAGTCAGACAGGATGAAAGCTGAGTGTGGGGGTGGCCGGAAGCCCTGGGGCACCGAGGCAGAAGTGGGGAGGGCAGAAGGAGCCTCTGTTTCCCTGAGTCAGCATTCTCTGGCCCCCCCAGAGTCTGGGCACAGTTCTCCCCTTGTGATGTATACGGATTAACTCATCTTCCATACAAATCAATCTCTCAGCACACTCCCCGCAGCCCCTCCCTAGCCTAGATTACCCTCCCCTTGTCAGGACTTGCCCCCTGCCTCCTCCTCCTCCACAAGCCTGGTCCCCTGCCCTAGGCAGGGCTCCCAGACCACAGAGGCTGTCTGCTGCTGGGCCTTCCGAGGGCATCTATCTTTGTAAGATGTACAGAGGAGCACAGTATGCCCGAGGCCTTGTGCAGAGACCAAGGTTTGTGTGCCCTTACTGCCCCACCTCTCAACTCCTCTACCGTATTCTGTGTCCACCCCCCCCTCCCCTATCACTAAGCTTAACCTGAACCTAACTGACCTGATTTTTAGCAGATCCGAACTTTGAAGGAGAATAAAGCCCAGCTTCCTCTCACACTCTTTCTCCTGGAATCAGGGATGAGAATTCTGTACACCCACATTCCTCATTGGGCAAGTACAACTGATCTACTTATGGAGGGTGGCAGTTCCCATCACCCTTTTGTGACAAGAATCTCTTTAAGTTGGAAAAAGGGAAGGAGAAGGGACCATACTGACTGCTGGTCCCAACCCCTATACCAAGCAAGACTTCCAATGGTACTGAAAGGGAGGGAAACATAGTCTCGCCTGGCCCAATTTCAGGACCCAGAGTGTAATCAGAGAGAGTGTGTTTGTGTATGTTCTTTGGTATGTCTAAGCTTCCATGGAGGGCTATCATGAGGGACAGTCCGGGCTTGGCACAAGAAACCCCACCTGTGGTATACCCACCGGTCATATTTGCCAGGATAGGTACTAGTAGTCACTCTGATTTGCTGTCTCCCTTCTGGCCCCCACCAGCTATTTTGTGAATAGCAAATCAGGAAAGTCTGGCCCTTCTGTCTTCCCAGGTGGAGAATATGGAGGGTTGTCTCTCTAGGGAAACGATATCCCCCTGGAAAAAAATGGAGCACCTGGCCTCTGTCTCCTCTTTTTGATCTCCTCAGAGGTTAGAAGTGATACACCTCGATACTTCCAGGGACTCAAACCTGAGTCTAGCTTCGAGAACATTCCCAGGCAAGTCTGAGTGCCAGCACCATGGACAGCAGCCAAGACTCCCCCTTTCAGAAAAGGACAAAGGAAGACCATTTCCAGGGCAAGTATGTGTGACCTTTAGTAGAGAAGCATTTCCCCCAAAACATCCCCAGGGAGGAGGCAGAGCAGAACCTTCCTGAGAAAAGGAACAATAATAGGAAAGGCGTCTGGATCTGACTTAACAATGTATGAAGTAATTATTTTAATTGCTGATGAATAGTTCACTTAAAAGACACCATCATTCATATAATACACAGCCCCAAGGCCTCAGGAGAAAGGGAGCAGGCCTCAGGTTAACCCACATTTTAACCAGTCCTTCCCAAACCCTTCCTCTATAAACAACAGCCCTCTACCCTGCTGCCTCCAGGCACAATACTTCCCAGTTAATACCACTAGCTGGGGCACAGGTCAGACCTGTAACCCTGAACTGCCATAGGAGTAGCTTAAGCCAGGGTTGGAGATTCATAACATTGGGACATTCTGTCTGTCTCACTCCAAATGAGTCCAGATTCATTTCACACCACTTCCCTGGGTGAGCACATTACCTGGGAAGGACTAATAGAACCCACAAAATCCCCAGAGCAAGAAGGATAGCTCCATCCTTCCCCAGCCCCCAGTGTTTAGGGGGTTGGAGGAGCTCTCATTTTTGCAAATAACCACCATCCTTCACATTTGCAATATCTATTTCCCCTCATATTTCCATTTCTATTATGATACTCGACACAAATTTCCAAGGCTCTGTGCAACTCCAGATGAAAAAACACATTCTGGAATTTGTTAACCAGCTACTATTTGAAATAAATGGACCATCAACTAGTCTAGAAATCTTTTCACGCCATCATTAATTTTCTTTGCAATGGCATTCAACCTGTCCCTCATTTATCCTCATTCCAACCCTATGAGGTAGACAGGAAAACCACGGCGGAGAGATTTTTTTTTTTCTTCTAAATCATACAACTTGCAGGTGGCAGGTCAACCCCTTAGATACCTCTGAGCACTGCCACCTAGCAGCCACTGTGAATTATTCGCCAGCAAGTGGGAGTCACACCTCCAACTCAGAACCCACCACTGCATTTGGGATTTGCAACCTCTGCAGAGAAACCTCCCCACACCTCCCAACCCTCCAGAAAAGCCCCAGATGAGAAAGGAGTCTCCACGTGCATATAAATGATTCTTTATGCCCTCCCCCCATGCAATGGGGGGTGGAGCAGGGGGAGGTCCCCCCGCCCTCATGCAGGGAACGGGAGGTCAATGTATACTAGTCTTATTGCCAGCTGCCCTGTGGCCATGGGGTGGGGAATGGGGGGTCCACAACCCCTTTCTTCTGGCATTGGTCCCCCTTCACCAAGTCACCATGGTGGAGCTGGGGGGCTGGAGGCCCTAGGAGCTGAGGTAAGGACGGTTCTCTAGGGAAGAAAAGGTGCTCTCCCCACCTGCCCACTGGCTGCCCCAGGATAAGTGTGAGGAGCTATCAGTGGGGGCTGGAATGTCATCCAGGTGTGTCTACCCAGTGGATAGTAGAGGCCAGACAATGTCTCCAGCTTGAGGCTACCCACAGAGATCCTCAGTGGTGGGGGCAGTGTGCCCCAAACACCTTGTCCAGGTGGTACCTCCAGCAGCCATGACAGGTTATCTCTGGCCGATGCATCGACTCAAGATCCCTGCTCCTGGAGTTCAGTTTCAGACTGTGGTGACCCTCATGACAACCTCTCGGCCAGAATGGGAACTGGAACGGGCATCTGGTGGCCGCAGCTGTCCAAGGAGGTGCAGGATTGTATAACCACAGCGCTGAGGCAAGAGCGTCCGCATGCGCTGGGCAGCCGGGGGGCGGCTGGTGGCCCCAGAGGGGGGGCCCATCCGTGAGGTCCTGGGGCCCGGCTTCCCTGCTGTCCCTCCCCCTGCATCTCCTCCTATGTCCTTGGTCTTGTCATAATTCAGGACCTTCCACTGCTGGTTCACTGCCTGCCAGCGCTTGAAGATGCGGTAGACAGAGGAGCCTTCATGGACGATGAGGCCTGAGCAAAAGGGAGAAGAAATCCAGGGTCACCTGCTGCCCAGACCTAGGCCAGAGGTACTTAAGCAAGTATTTCCCCAGAGTGAGGAGATGGGGTCTGTAAAAGGCCTGAAGAAGCAGAGAAGGGAGAGGCACCAAGATAGCCTTAAAGGCTCCCAATCGTAGAAAATGTGGCTGTGGAGCTGAGGGAATGGGCAGGGAAAGTTAAGTGTGTGAACTGGAGAAAGACACTGAGCAGGTAAGGGGGAGAGAGGTGCCCTCACCTATGCAGACGACATCCATGAAGCCATACATGCCGTAGCAGATCTGAAAGAGCAGATCCTGCCGTTGCCACTTGGCTGAAGGGCTGAGTGAGGACCAGATGAGCCAGGAGATACTGGCGACGAGGAAGAGCGAGCCCAGAACTATGGCTGCAATCTGGACCTTCTCGATGACCGTCAGGGAGATGGCCTGCCACTGTGTGGGAGAAAGGGCTCCAAAAAGTCACAGAAAGAGAAGGAGGGCGAGGTGATGAGTGGCCCTGAAGAGGAAGATGCTCGAGAGCCTTCCTGAAACCCTTCAGGCAGTATTAGCAATCTGTCTCTTCTGTGCCCTGATCAAACATAGTATGGAGCACTTTTCACATTGTTTGAGACCATTTGTCTTATTTTAGGAAGGCAGGATCAGGCAAGTGCTCTGACCAGACCATCTAGGTTTGAATTCCAAATCCTAACTCCATCACTTACCTGCTATGTAACTTTGGGAAAGTATT